AAAGGGAAGAGAACAATTAACACCATACTTTATTCCATTTTATCCTTTTCCTAGAGATACAAAATTATTAACAGCAATTCACCAAGGTCAGTTCAAAGTCAGCCTTATGCTTGTATTGCAGAGCCACAGCCACTGAACCTCAAAGCTGTACTTTATCCTGATGGCCAGTGAGCCCTTAATCAACAGAGCCCGCACCCTTTTCTTGCTGATACTGTTAATGTGGACACTTACTCCCTTTTTTTTTTTGTACTGGGGCTTAAACTCAGGACCTCATTCTTACCAGGCAGGTGTGCATACCACTGAGCCATTTCTCCGGCCCTCACTCCCTACACTCTGATAATTACACATTTGCTCAATTACCCCATATAGCAACTTCAGAGAGGCAGCTAAACCTTAAGGTTCCTGGCCAAGCCCAGTGAGGGTTGAAAGAAAGGGCCCAGAAAAGACAACAGCCTGGGTGAGTGTGGAAGCTGGGGTTCCTGGCTTCCATCCCTTTTCATACAAGCTTTCCACTTAGAAGGGGCAGAGCACCTTCAAGTTGGTAACAGCACAGAAAACCTCAAGATGCACAAGGCCCATCCAGAGGAGGTCTAACGTGAGTAACCTCAAAGCAGTAAGACACGTCAGCATCTGCCCCAGTAGGGCCAAGGGAGTCCTTGTCGGCATAAGCCTGCTGCAGAGAATATGGGAAGCAAGTAAAAGCTTAGCAAGGAAGAGAAGATAAAGTCTGCACCTGCACCCCAACAAGGATGTGCAATAGCTGCAGAGCACTTCCTGAGCACAGCGGACAAGAAACACGTGTTGCAATACTGACCCTGCGACCTAAGGAAAGCGTGACCTTAGGAAAGTGTGAAGAATTCTATGAGCAGACCAGACCAACTACAGAGAATAAAGCAAGGCCATGAAGTACCAAATAGGAACCAATGCGGAACATGTCCAGCTGCGGCAAAACTAAAATCAAAGCGGCAGCTAACATTACACACCAACCAAAAGGACTTATATATATATTTTTTAATTTTATTTTTATTTTTTTTTAACATTTAGTGTGTGTGTGTGTGTGTGTGTGTGTGTGTGGCCAGCTCAGCCCACCAGGGGGTGGGGCTGGCTGGCATGTGGTGCTGGGGGATCGAACCGTGGTCCCTGTGCTTTGCCAAGCTTGTTCCAAGTAGGTGCTTTAGACCACTGAGCCATCTCTCCAGCCCCAAAAGGACTTATAAATGGTAGTGTAAAGACATGTCTCACAAAATCTCCTATGATTACAGACCCAATGCTTGAGTATTAATTCAACATTGTAAGAAAAACTGACATAAGCGATGTATTACTGGCTGTCTTCTTAAGCTAGAAACTACCTGTGTTATCTGACTAAGAAAGAGGACACTCTATTTGATAGACTTAATCTTATGGAAAATTTTTATCAGAGCAAATAATTCTTGTCCAAAGTATCAGAAAGTGCCCTGGGAAATGGGGTGCCAACTGGCCTCTTGCACACAAATGGCTCAATTTTTTAGTGACCACCTGTCCCAGACAACTCTGTGGGGTTTAAAGACCACTGGGAACTTGGGCTCTCTACTCACATGCAGAGTTCAAAGAAACTGAGTTTTTTCTCAAGCCATGATCATTTACTTCAGATCACAAAACTTGAGATGCTCACCTAACATATAACCTTCTTATATGCACTGACTTTAAATACTGGCAGCTTTTTAGGAATGAGAGATTTGTGCTGCTGAGTACCCACTCTTTAATGCAAAGACTTATGTTTGCTTTTTCAAATGGTTCAATCTCACTAACATGTAAGCCCTTAGCAGAACCCTAATAAAAGACCAATTTGTAAAACTGGGCCATTTTAATGTTTTTACAACTTAATAAATAGCTTTCTTGATAAATGTAGTCATGACAGCTGTTCAACAGTATTCAAGTTATGGTTTTCCTGATTGGTCTGTGGCCTTCAATAAGTGTAAGAACTTACTGTATGAAACAACTGTCAAACTAGTTAAGACTGCACTGATGCATCCATC